TTGGATAGTAATAAACATAATGGATCCATATATAACTAAAAAAATTACCCATTCTAAAAATATTAACAAATTTAAATGCATCTAAAGAAATAGATGATAAGCTCTATTTATTTCCAACATTCAACATAGAAATGAAGATAGCTACATTACCAATTGGTTATTGTACCAATTATCTGCCCAGTTTTGATTCCTGCTGTGATTATGAAAATTGTGAAATAGCAAATGACTACAATGACGATAATTGCACATTAATTTGTGGTCATGAATATCATTATCAATTTTTTCAAGATCTATAGTTTAAATGTCAACATTGTCTTGATTATTTATTGAATGGCATTGAGTATTTAGGAAATTTAGATTAGAAAGTTTAGATAATACATCTGTATTAGGTGAAGAAGATGAAGAAGAGGATGAAAATACTATAGATAATGAAAAATAATATTAATTTGGAGGGGTCTGAAGAATTAATTTTGAAAGGTAATTTAAATCTTGATCAATCTTTAAAAAACGCGTTGTATGTATTTCAACAATTTAAATAAAGTTTTTCTGTGTATCACCATGCTGATTTACAACAAAATCCTAATTCGATAGATGATCAACAATCAACATATTTTATTCGACTATATAATGAACCTTTTTTCGAATAAAAAAAAAATGGGAAGCGGAAGTTCATTGCAATTGCGACTCGAAATAAGGTGAAAACGTTGATCGCACCAAAAACCAAACAGAACTTAACACAAAAAGAATATTAATTTGCAAAATCGACAAAAAAAAATTACGGAATTTAGAAAAAGACAGTAACACGGCAAAATTTTTTTTTAATGTGTGTTTTAATATTGAACCAATATAGTATAAATGTAATTTGTTCCTTTAAAATCTGCATCTTAGTAAAAAAAATTTACGTGTAACAAATGAACCAATATAGTATGTATGTATCATCGTTTCCTTTTAAATTTGCAACCTTGAATTTTAATCTTTTTTTATCGAAAAATAAGTAACAATGTCATCACATAAAGGTGCTTCAATCGTCACAACTAACACAATAAAACAAAAAAATGAAAAAGACGCTACAAGACTTAATTTGAAATTTAATGAACTTGATGAAATGGTGGATTCTCAAATCGTTTTCGAATTTGGTGGACCATGGGGAGTTACTGCAATGATGATCGGCTTTCCCATTCTAATGTATTACTTATGGGGATGTCTACAATTTTATCGCGGGAGATTGGAGTCACCTTTTAATGAAAAATTATGGACATCGATAATACAAGGCTCAATGCCAACTTTTTATGCAGCTAAAATCTATATAACATTTTGCGTTTTTGAATTTTTTTTGGCTTATACTATGCCAGGACCTATAGTTAAGGGAGCACCTGTTTCTTCATTGAAAGGAAAACAATTGGATTATCTTTGTAATGGAGTTTGGTCATTTTATGTGACCATTTTTACATCATATCTACTTCATCATTATGAATTGTTTAAATTGACAGACATTATTGATAATTTTGGACCTTTGATGAGTGTAGCAATAATTTTTGGTTTCTTGATTACATTTATTATTTATGCTGTTACAATATTTCAAGGTGAGCACTATCGTATGTCAGGATATTTGATGTATGATCTTTTTATGGGAGCTGCTTTAAATCCTAGAATTGGAAAAGTTGCTTTGAAAATTTTTGCTGAAATCAGAATTCCTTGGGTATTTATGTATTTTCTTCTTTATCTAAAAAAATAAAGAATAATTATTTCATTATTGTTATTCATTTATTGATTTATTTATAAATAAATAATAATAATACATAGGTAATTTTATTTTATATTTCGGTATCTGCTGCT